CACGTCACCCCCACCGCCTCTGCCGCCTCCGTCCGCACCCTAACCGCCCCTCTTTCCACCTCTACCTCGAGACCACAAAGAAGTCGTAACAGCAGCTGCGGTCACGTCAGTAGCAGCTACGGTCACGTTAGTAGCAGCAGTGGCGAGAGAAGCTGTAAAGGTGGGCAGCTGAGGGACAGTGCACCCGTGGAACAAAGGGGCACAGCACCAGAGGCGGAGGCTATGGAGCGGAGGCTGCTCTCGACGTCCTTGAGGGCAGACTCAAGGACCTTGATAGTGAGCTCACTAGGGTGCTTCAGAAGAAGCGTGTCACGGACCGAGGCAAGGCGGACAGGGAGGCTAGTGGCGATGAAATAGATAGTAATTGCCATGGGGGGAGGAAGCAGTGCAAGCTGTGTCTCAGTGCAAGCAGCGCGGTAGCTAGAATCAAGCGAGCGGAGGTGAGCAATCAAGTCAGCAGAGCTCTCAAACAAGGCGAGGTCAGGGAACAGGAACAGTAGAAAGAGTCGGCCAAGAGTCGACAGTGGTGGGAGTAGCATAGCGGGCCTTGATCGCAGTCAGGAACTCACTAGCAGTGCGAAGCTGAGTGAAGTGGGCCTTCTCAGACTCAGGAAGGAGGCTGCTAAGAGCGATGCAGGCCGCAGCGTCACGCGACTTCCACGCCATCAGGTCAGCACGTTGGCGGGTAAAGTGGTCTCTGGCTGCGTCGTTAGGGGTGGTGCCTAAAGGCGTAGGGTCGTCGGGCGCTGGAATATCACCAGTAGCGTGCACCCAAAGGGACTCGCCCGCCTGAACCTGACTCTCTAAAAGGCGACGCGCGCGTAGGAGCTAGACCGGAAACTCGAGCGGTCTACCGTTAGCGTCAAAGCGAAGGACCCTAGGGGTCGCCATTGTGTACCTAGAAGCGGCAAGTCCGGCGGCGGGTGGCACTGGTAGGGACGGTGGGCGGCTAGGGCAAGTCCATGACGGGCGCAAAACGCGGCCGCAACAGGGCTAGGGGCGGTCCCGTGGCGGACTGAACGAGTAGGCGCAGCGGTGCGAAGGAAGGGCCTTACGAGCGGGCCCGCAGCGGACTTAACGAGGAGGCGCGGCGGCTGGCTGAACTGGCAGGCGCGGCAGCTGTAAGGGAGGGCCCACGTCGGCTGTAAGGGAGGACCCGCGGCGTACCTAATGAGCAGGCGCGGCGGCGGGCGGTATGGGCAGGCGCGGCGGCTGTAAGGGAGGGCCCGCGGCGGGCCTAACGAGCAGGCGCGGCGGCGGGACGAGCGGGCCCGCGGTCGGGCCTAACGAATAGGCGCGGCCGCGGGTGGTACGGGCAGGCGCGGCGCGCGAGCGGACGTTTAGGGCAGCGCGGGGAAGACGCGACGCGACGGGCAGGGTGGGAGGGCACGTCGCGACGAGCAGCGGGGGAGGGCGTGACAGGACGGGAAGCCGAGGTGAGCGCGACGCGATGGGCAGGGGCGGGGAAGGCGCTACGCTACGCGGAAAGCGGGTCGGCGGAGCGGGCGCTAACGAACGAGCGAGACTAGATCGGGCCAGCGCTAGGCTCGGGCAAGACGGGTACGACTAGTACGAGAAAGCGAGACTGGATCGGGCCGGCGCTAGGCTCGGGCAAGACGGGTACAACTAGTACGAGAGAGTGAGACAGGCTCGGGCAGAACGAACGAGGACGGGAGGAGCGCGATCTCACAGGATCCTAACCTAGGTGATACCATGTTAAGAATGAAATTGTTGTGTTATTGATGAGGGCTGGGGTACATATAGCAAACCCTAACATTTGTACCCCCTAAGACTCACTACAAGCTACAATATTTGACAGGCAGAACAGAGGAAAGCGGGGAAATGATTGTTTGTGCTGGAAAAGGGGGAGGAAATTCGCTACATGACAGGTCACATGATTTTAGGTCTAGGTACCTAAATGGGGGATTGTTTTCGTGGCAGCAAAGGGAAAAGATGGCGAAATGGTTGGGTTGCTTGCACATGCAATACCTACACTCGCTAGTTGCTTGCATAATTGCTGCACTACTGTTGGGTAAGCTACTAGGTGCATTTTGGCTTTTGGAAGATGATTTTTCTTCTGTCAAGATAGGACCTGGCATGAGTTGTAAACAACTGACTAGGCAAAAATAGATGCTACTTGATAAGACGGAAACAGGAGGAATTTCACTTCCCACATTCAGAACTACGCGTTCGCAACTCGTGTAGACACCCGGGTCAGGAGAAACCAGCGAACTGCACCAATGTTGTCCTTGCGCCGCCCCGATTTTTTCGCGTGCTGTTTCACCCAGCCCGCTTTTGTCGGAGTAGAACAGTGTCGCAACTCCCCTTTTTTTGTTTTTTTCTATACAACTGTCGAACGAGCACCAGCCCAGATACCTTTAACCAGCGCAGGGTAGGCCCGTGTTCACCCCCGTTATTCGGCCAAGCAAGTTGACTGCATGAGTCAGAACTAGAAACTTGGTGGGGATGGTGAGGTTCGGGCAACGGAAGGTCACTGATCGTTCACACCGGCTTTTAACCTGCCCTTCACACCGTTCTTCAACCCCCGCTTAGCCGTCGGGCAGTTTCTTCTCGTGTGTCCCAGCGACCTATACCACTCTCTACCGTAATTGTCGGCGTGGTACCTTGAACACCGTTTAATCGTGGGCTGTTGAGGCTGTCCCCGAAAATGACTTCCTTACAGGGAATCCACTCTCGAAATAGCCGGCCAGCAGTCAACAGTACCAGGCATGCAGCGTCATCCGAGTGTTCTTCGGGGTGTATGGGCCCGATTTGCCCTCGCCGCCTGTGTCCCACTCCTCCTGAGTGCGATTTAGCCACTCCGTTTTCTGTTGCAACCCGTAAGCCTCGGCGGGTCTGAAGTTCCCGTCTGTCCACGTGCACTCCTGCCGAAATCTTCGATGACGCACCCGCCATGCAGTAAAAGCAGCTGCACTTCAGGTCGGGCGGGACGACAGTTGACCCCGCATTATTCGGGCAATTCGCATGTCGTCTCTCCTCCTCCACCGATATTTTCGGACGCAAAACTCCATTTGCGCCTGGCGAGTTCCCCAGCCGACGTTTTCTCCACAGTTGCTCTGAAAATGTCGCCCACAGTGACGCACGTCCGTTGTCGCCAGCTGCCGAAACAGATTCCGCGAGTCATGCGCGCAAAATGACGACGAGCCACCGTCGTAAATTGCCGCATCAGACGAACTCCGAAATTGTCGCGCAGCTGTTGACCCAAGTCCGACGGCGTCAACTGCCACACCCGTTGATGACTCCGCGAATTTTGTGCAGGTGCCGACGCATGTCCGCTGACGCCAGCTGCCACACAAAACTTCTGAATCGTCGGTAAATCGCAACAGAGTAGTAACTCACGTTTAACGCCGCGTCAGCTTCAGCTGTCCGTTGCCCGGGGGGAGGGAGGCCACGGTCAATCGCGACCGTTCGAGGCAAGGATCTGGCGGTGTCGAAGGAGTACCAGTAAAAACATAGCCGCAAGGAGCAACTAAATTGTTCTCCTGGCCGGCCTACGCAACTCTTGGACCCCAAGACATCCTTCCTTGTCCCCCCCCCCCCCCCCCCTGAGGGGTATTACACTCTAAAAAGCGGGGTAGGCTAGGAAAGTAGCTCTGATACCAGGTGTTATGAATGAACTTGCAGAGTGCGCAGAATAACGAATATCGAGAATGAAATGATTACTGAATTACTGAATGACGATACAATGAGAATGCCGAGGCCTAAATAGGGGAAAAGCTAGCTAGGCGGGGAGGTTGGGCGAGGAGGTTGGGCGAGGATGGCTCGGTGATGGTTGCGTTTGGAGCGGAGGTCGACTCGGGAGTGGTTAGGTGCGACGAAATAGGAAGGACAGGTTCGTCGTGTGACCTTCAAGATGTACTCGCTAACGAGTGCCTCAGTAAGGATTTGTAAATCCTTACAAGGAATTTCACTTCCCACATTCACAACTACACATTCTTCAGCCCGAGTACAGCATGGCAATTGTCAAGTTCAAGATTCTTGAGCTTGAAATCGCCAAAAACAGGGTTACCCTAGTTGTTTCGAAGAAACTCTCGCGACCCCAGGCAATCGTCCTGCGACAACGGAACCTGAGTGCCCAAAAACAGAACTGACGCATGATCGCCAAACAACGGATCTGACGCACCCTAACTTGCTTACCAAGTAGTACTCCCAGACTAGAGGCTCCAAGGCAAAAACTAGCGCTAGTTGGCAAAAGTGAGTCGTTGATAGGGTTTTTTTTTTGTGCGGAAAGAAATATAGGTATCCACCTCAACCATCTTAGTTAGTGCACGCTCCGATCTCCCCCTCACGTCACCAGTCTCGTGTTACAACCCGTTCACCCGCGGCACTTACGTTAGTGAACGATGTTCGCGTTAAACCCGTCTTGCATTCAAGCTCGCGTCGCACACGCAGGCTTCTGTCACCCTTGCTGCGGCTCAGCCTCGTGTCACGATTGTACCGTTTTAGGCACGGGTCACTCACACGAATGCTGTACAGGTTCGCATTACGCACGCTGCCGTTAGTCGCATATGTTCCCCCTCGTCGACCACGTCAGACCGCTTTCCTCGTCGCCCGCGCTTTCCCTCATCACCCTCGCCGACCCTCTGGTCGCATATGTTCCCCTAGTCGCCCGCGCTTTCCCACGTCAACCACACATCCCCTCGTCGCAATCACTGATAGTGAACATACCGTGCTTCAGATTGTCACCCGCGCACCCCTCATCACCCTCGTCGACCCGCACCGATCCTCGCCGCCCTCACCTCCCTTAGTCACCCACATTCCCTCTCGTCGCTCGCTCTTCCCCTCATCACCCTTGCCGACCCTCGCCGCCCTCGCCTCCCCTCGTCGCCCGCGCGTCCCGTCGTCGGCCTTGCCTCCCTGTTACTCGCGCTTCCTCTCGTCATCCGCGTTTCCATCCGGGACAGAGAAGCGGAGTGACAGAAGGGGGTAAGAAAAGTGGGGGAGGGACAGAGGGGGGCAAGGACAGAAGGAGAGGTAAGCTACCCCACATCCCCTTCCCTGCTTCTCCCCATTCCCTTCCCTGCTTCCCCACATCCCCTTCCCTGCTTCCCCCCATCCCCTTCCCTGCTTCCCCCCATCCCCTTCCCTGCGTCCTCCCATCCCCTTCCCTGCTTCCCCTCATCCAAGTCCTTGCTTCCCCTCATCCCCTTCCCTGCTTCCCCCCACCCCCCTGCTTCCGCCCATCCCCTTCCCTGCTTCCCCTCATCCCCTTCCCTACTTCCCCTCATCCCCTTCCCTGCTTTCCCCCATCCCCTTCCCTGCTTCCGCCCATCCCCTTCCCTGCTTCCCCCCACCCTCTTCCCTGCTTTCCCCCATCATATGCCCTGCTTCCCCCCACCCTCTGAGAAGTGGGTGACACACGCCAGGTGAGCTCGGGGGATGAGTTGACTGGAATGAGAGGCGAGAGCCGCTTGGCATTTGGAGACGTGGGAGATGAGGGGAGTTAGAGGGATATGATAGCCTCTCAGTAACATGCAACAGCAGGTGCATTCAATGCGATGCCCTTTTTCTCCTCATTCCTTCCTGCTCGTGCCTTTGCTTTCTTCCCCCCACCCTCTGCCCTGCTTCCCCCCACCCTCTGCCCTGCTCCCCTCGCTTTTCCCATGTGCTCCTCTCCTCCATTTTACCATCTCTCCTGCCTCTCCCATCTATCCCCCCTCTCCCTCCCCATGTGCTTCTCCTGCCCCTCCCATGTACCCCTCCTCTCCACCCCCCATGTGTCTCTCCTGTCCCTCCCTGTCTCTCTTGTACACACCCACCGCCTCTCCACTCCCTCCTGCTCGTGCTCCTTCCCTCCCACCTGCCAGGAGCACGACCTACAGAGGGACTACAAGGTGCGGGACGTGGGTCTGTTGCGCGTTTCTTGGTGGACCTTCTCTTCCCTCCATCCTTACATAGGCTTGAAAGCGCATTAGGAGTTGCCGAATTTGAGTTTACTAGAGTTTTGATACTCTAAACCCTCTGCCCATGTTTTGGTGTTCTATTATTGATAAGGTATGCCCTGTTTTAGCTGGAAAATATGATTCAAGGTTCCCCCCCCACATTTCAGCACCCCACATTTTTTGTTATTTTGAGTGAAGACTCATTAGTGAAGAAGAAAATGTACGGTAAAGGCAGGCTGGATATTCGATGTACTGTACTATCATTACCTTACTGCACATACAATAAATTGAGATGTAGCCAGGATTCATTCAATCTGGAATTTTCCCCTAATAATCATTGGGACGGGAGCGCTCCTAAATGAAACTACCTCCACGCCATTTCTTGCTTATGCATGCTGCATAGCGAGCGCCTCGTCGCGAAGTGAAGAGAAGAGGACCGAGGAAAGGTACCGCTCGCCAAAGCTTGGCAGCACCACCTAGCAGAGCAGTGCAGAAGAAAGCGAAGAGCATGGAGACAACTTCATCAAGGAGAAGCTGAAAGCGGAACAATCCCGCGCTAAAAAGAATGGACTGTAAGAACACTGATATCACAGCTGGCACAGGACATACCACGATGAGCTTCCCAGCGTTCTCTGCCCGTTTGGCCACTTCGATTGCTGCAACGACTGCTGCTCCCGATGAAATCCCCACCTGCATTGGAGAAAACAGGAGTTAGGCAGGGAGCATGGAAAGGAAATAGGTGATTCTGGACGGAACAAAAGCTTGTCATGATAATTTCCCCTGGAGAGAGAAGAATGAGAGATAGAAGGGATACCAAACACGCTTTGCAACAAACTGTGAGCATGCCCCACCTGAGTGGATACTGAACAGGGATAATTTGTAGAATATTAACAGCCTGATAAAAGACTATCTCAACCACGCAGCACCATCTAAACCGCACTCTTCAGTCAATGGCACTCACCAGCAGCCCTTCCTTCTGTGCGAGCTGCTTCGCCATCTCCACTGCTTCATCGCTGGACACCTGGTCAGGGAGACGGGCGAGGATGAAAACAAGGTAAAAAGCAGGGTGTATTTGGTACTACTAAAACGCTTCCTTTGCCATATCCACTGCTTCGTCGCTGGACACCTGGTCAGGGAGAAAGCGGGGAGTGCAAAACGTGGTGAGGCTGAGTGCAACTGTGAGAACTCCAAGAAAACAACCCTCCATCTCCCTCGCTTCATTTCTGCATAGACAATTACTCAAGTAAGTGGAGAAGTGAAAGAATCCACTTAGAATGGCGATGCAGTTACAAAGAATCTATCAGTTTCAGCTCTCAGCAAAACCCTCAACAATAAAGACAATGCCCTTCCTAACAGCCCCGAAGTCATCAGTCCAGGCCTAAAAAGCTTTGCTTAGTGATCATCTCGAGACTTTCAATTTGACAGCATAAATCCAATCCAATCATTCTAAAATCCGCACTTACCTGCACCACTTCGCTAAGAAGCCCCACGTCCAGCACTCCCGGCACTTGCGAGTTGACTTGATAGCTGTACCCAGTTACCCTAGAAGCCACACTTGACTTGAACCACACCCAGTTACTTTAAGAAAAGAGCCCACCTGCACCACTTCGCTAAGAAGGCCCACGTCCAGCACTCCCGGCACAAAGCCGGCGCCTATGCCCTGGATCTTGTGTGGGCCTGGGTGGAGAGGGTGAGGAGGGTGGGGGGGGTGGGGAGGGTGGGGTGGGGGGAAGAGAGTGTTCGGAACTAGGACTCACAAAGCCGGCGCCTATGCCCTGGATCTTGTGTGGGCCTGGGTGGACAAGTGGGATTAGTGGGGTGAGGAAAAGAGAGATTTGACGAATGGGGGCGCACACAGGCACAAAGTTGGCGCCTATGCCCTGGATTATGTGCGGGCCTGGGTGGAGAAGTGGGAATGGTGGGGTGAGGGAAAGACAGTGGGGTACGCGGGTTGGTTGGGGAATTTTGGCAGCAAACATGTTTTTTTTTTTTTTTTTTTTTTTTTTTTTTTTTTTTTTTTTTGTAGAATAACGGGGCCATTGCGTAGGATATAGGAAGCATGTATGCGGGTTGCGATACAAAACAGGGGTATGCCATATGAACGCAGGTTAAAAGGAGAAGTGAAGTGAAAGTGACAAGATTGATGGACAAATGGATATTCAGATGGACAGAATTGCAAAGAACAAAACGGCCTGTGTTGTTGTTCTCACCTGGCCTCCACTTGGGTCTGTTATTATCACCTGGCCTGGCTTTCCCCTTGTGCCTGTTGTTCTCACCTGGCTTTCCACCTGAGATCACAGGGCTTTCTTTGGGCTCCACTCCCACGATCTGCAGCCAATCAGAGAAGATGGAAAAAGGCGATACTCACAAAGGGAATGAGACAATGGTGCACTTGCTAGTTAGTGAGCGAGCCTATCTCATTAGCAGCAGGTTCTCATACACTCCGGAAGGAAGTGGCGCAATCACTAGTCAGAGAGCCTTCCAGCACATCTGGCCTCAGATAGTGAATGCCATGCCATGACTCATGAACGCCTAACCCATCATCAGCCATGCCCCATGACACTTTAATCATGACCCATCAGCCATGACTCACGACCCATCAGCCATGACTCACGACCCATCAGCCATGACTCACGACCCATCAGCCATGACCCACGACCCATCAGCCATGACCCACGACCCATCAATCATGACCCATGACATGACACATGAGTTATGACATGACCATAAAAAAGAGGAAAGGCCACTCACCTTCACATCTGGGTTCTTGCTCCGGAGGAACCTTCCAGCGCCTGTAACGGTGCCACCCATACTGCTTACCAACATTAGAATGCCCATGTGACCCATGATTACGACAATCCTCACCTTCACATCCGGATTCTTGCTCCGGAGGAACCTTCCAGCGCCTGTGACGGTGCCACCCGTGCCAATCCCCGATACCAGAACGTCAACATGGCCGTTCGAGCCCTCCCAGATCTCAGGGCCTGTTGTCTCAAAGTGCACCTGAGTAGGGGAGAGAGCAGGGGTGGGAGAGTGGGTGGAGGATTAGAGGCCAGAGGTGGGAAGACACCAGAATGTCCTCATGGCCGTTCGAGCCCTCCCAGATCTCAGGGCCCGTTGTCTCAAAGTGCACCTGGAAAGCAGGAGGGGGCAGGCGAGGGAGAGCAGAGAGAGAGGGGGGAAGACAGCTAACTGATACCAGCTGGCTGCTGCGCTCTATCCTTTGGTTCTACGTTTCAGGTACCTACAAAGTTCTACGTTTCCCCCTCGTTCTCACTTTGGGATTATTGCACCTCACACACTCCCCTCCATCTCATCTTGAAAAAATCTCCCCCACACACTCCCCTTCCCCACTTTCTCACCTTGGGATTCGCCGGGTTTTCAAACTGCTGCAGCATGTAAGCGCCTTCAGTATTCGCCACAATCTCCTCCGCCTTAGCAATCGCGCCCTTCATGCCCTTGGCAGGGTCGGTCAGAACCAAATCCGCCCCGAACGCGCGCAGCAGCACGCGGCGCTCGAGGCTCATGGAGGCGGGCATGGTGAGGGTGAGCTGGTAGCCCCTTGCTGCCGCCACGAAGGCCAATCCGATGCCCGTGTTGCCACTCGTTGGCTCCACCAACACGCTCTGACGGGGGGACAAGGGGGCGGGGAACGGGAGGGAGGGAGCAGGGGAAGGGGAAATTCACATGCAGCAGCCGCAGCTTCAGGTGCGCCCTCAACCAGCTCTGCCCCGAAAGCATGGAGCAGCACGCGGCGCTCGAGGCTCATGGAGGCGGGCATGGTGAGAGTGAGCTGGTAGCCCCTCGCTGCCGCCACGAAGGCCAATCCGATGCCCGTGTTGCCGCTGGTCGGCTCCACCAACACGCTCTGTCCAAGGGGAGAAGAGCGGGTGAATGTCAGCTTGGGAATCAGGAAAACGAGGCAGAAAGACGAGGCTGTGCGACCCACTGCAGCCAATGCCCGTGTTGCCACTCGACAGCTTCACCAGCACACTTTACCCAGAGAGACGCAGCAGAGTTTTCCTTCACCTGAGAATCAAATTCATGCCTGCTGCGCTTTCTCTTTCACCTCTTCCCACCCACCTCCACTGGTCGGTCAAATGTGATCAGAGGGACTTTGATACGATTGGTCCGGGACCTCTGTTGGTACGAGTTGTAACGACATGTACTTGTGGTGTCCGCGTACCTTGCCTGGAGTGATAAGCGCCTTCTACTCCGCGTCTGTGATCATGCTCACGGCGATACTGAAGGGAACACGGCATAAAGGATATGAGCACGACAAGGGAACGATCGTCCACCCTAATCCGTACCTTGCCTGGAGTGATGAGGCCCTTCTCCTCCGCGTCTGTGATCATGCTCACGGCGATACTGAACGGGGTGGGAAACGAAAATGCACGCAGACAGGGAACACGAAACACACACAACACAATGAGCATAAAATACGAGCAATAAACCGTTTCCCTTGCCATTAGATTCTGAAAATGAAGGTTAGACATAGACACCACACACACCACAATAAACAAGGTCGTGATTCTTGAAAGCTGATTTTCACGGGAACATGACATACATATGCTATGACAGACAGCGGAATAACGACATATCCGACATGAACACTAATAAATGGCATACGCGGTTACATGAACACGACACACGGCGGAAATACGACAGACATACACGAAACGTACCAGATACCGCCTTGCACCAATTTTTGGCCAAGATACGGAGACACGACATACGCGACATGAACAAGGCACACGGAAACAACGACAAACAGAAAGACGTACGGTCCTTGACGATGCATAATCTCCAATTTGTACGCTATGTTGACCTACTGACAAAGAAACACGACAAACGCGATATGAGCATGACACACGGGCGTAACGTACCGGTCCTTTACGCTACAGCAGGGCTCCATGATTTCCAGCTTGCACGCAATGTTGGCCAGACATCCCTCCGTCACCTTGTTCAGATAAACCATGGGGGTCTTGCCGACCAACTACATAGCAAATGCAAATTACGGCTCGTTAAGAATCGAAATTCGTGAAAGGAACATGTTTTACTTCAATTGATGTATCTAGCAATTAAGAAAAATCGTAAAGCGTTCTCTGAGAGCACTGGAGTGAAGCGACGTGCCTGTGTCATGTCAGTAGCGATCGTGGTCGACGGAGGGCGAAGGCCCTTGGTTTCGTCGGCGGTCGCCATTCCGGTGTGGGAAGTGAATGAACGAGAACGAAATCACGACGGAACTACCGGCAGATAGCAGGCAATGCACGCTGCTCACTGCTGGGGTGAAATTGTGTGAAGGCCAGAAGTCAAAACAACAGAGATGGAGACTGAAATGATGGAAGTGGCTGGTCGTAAGAGTTCACTTTTGTGCGATTCAGAGCGGTTGTTTAGGATGTTACAACTTCTGGATAAAGTTCAAAGGAATGAATGAATCTTGGCCCTGGCAACAAGTCCAGCAAACTTGGGTGTATCCTCTGACTAGAAAGTCAGGTTTGGCTCGGCGAACCATGGCGGGCATTTTTCACTTCTCCAGCCGAGACCCAAACCGCCACGCCGAAGCAGATAGGTTCGATGAACCAGGGCAGCCTGCGAAGGTCGCCCCTGCCCAATCAGGCGCCGTGACGGTTGGTCTAGGTGCGGGCTCTTGAAGGGACACTTTGATGACGGGGAGCCTGCAGGCAGCAAAAGCTGCACAAAAGCTCCACGACGACACGCCGTTATAGCGCAATCGTCACTCTGCAATCAGACTGGTACACTATGTTGCTATTTGAGCTCTCTATCCTAGGTAAGGCATCATTAAGTAATATCAGGTAGATGCCTATGTAGATTCTACATTTATTTATTTTTATTGAATTATTAAACTAACATACTACAAATAGGACGTAAATTCCAGTTGATATGGTCTACAATGTGGTTGCCCTCGAGGAAAGGAACATAACTTTTACCCAGAACGATAGCGTGTAAACAATCCCAAAAAATGCGGGATCTTAACGAACCTCACTCTTGCCGCATGAAGGTTTTAGGCGTGCTTGGAACCCCTCAGACAGCCACGGCCACCATTCGACAGCAGTCGAGTCTTACCGCATTCGGTGCATACCGCGTCAGTTCAGGGTCGCGGTAATCATATCAGACTTAATTCTCGGCAACGTTCACCTCGAATATTGTTTCGTTTAGAGTGGCTGGGCGGGAGCCATGCCGTTGTTTCAGCCGTTCAGGGCGATAGGGTACATCACAGATGACACGCCGTTCTCCGTACGGCGGGTGGGAACCGAGACGTACGTAACCGTTAGCGTCGGTCGCGCCTGGCAAATCTACAACGTACGTATGAGACCCTACAGTGTGGTCACGATAGGTTTCGGGCTAGCAGTGGTGGTTCAGGGTTCGTGTTACGCAGGCGACCGTTCAGTACCACAGGCTAGAGCTGCATTTGAGCGATTCTTCCCCGTGCCCTTCGTTCTCTGGTCGTGTCTTATAGTCTTATCGTGTTTCTCTTCCCTTCATTCATGCACTACGTGGTCATTTCTATGCTTCCCTTCCCCTCTTTACGGTTTACTGTTTCCCTTTCTCCCATCCGGCATTGCGTGCGAAACTGGACCTGGGCGGTTAATGGTAACCCGTTTCGTTTCCGCGTTCGTGACGCCGTTCCGAATGGAATCAGTGCGCGAAGCTTCGCCTGGTCTTCGTTGGTGAGTCTACTCTCTCCCATCTGCACCTCAAGCCGCCCCCTTACTGAGATTAAGTGTATCCTCTCAATATTCTATTCTTATTCACCTCTGAAATGTAAAAATCTATGTCTTTTCTAAGCTGGGCCTTTAGTGTCTTAAACCCGAAACCCGTGTCCTTAAGCCCCTACCAGGAACAGCTCCCTATGGCTATCCGTCCTCTCATATCTCATCAACATCGCACCTTTGCTGCGACTTGAGTCGCCTCAGAAACCCTTGAACTCCAAACCCAAAAGCTTCAACCCCACTTCCCAACCCTCTCAGGATCGGAACTCCCCAAGTCTATTCGCGCACTGACCTCGCACCGCGACCGCACCTTTGCAGCCTTTGGCACTGACATTGCGGTCTTCTACCGCTCGCACCAGGTGGGTAACGAGTGTGGGTGCAGGTGGGTAATGGGGGTGGGTGCAGGTTGGTAACGGGGGTGTGTGTGGGTAACGGGGGTGGGTGCAGGTGGGTAACGGGGGTGTAACGCCTGTGGGGCTTACACGTAAGGGTATGAGAGCATCCGCTGCGCCTCAAATACAACCCTCGTTTTGACCCAGTGGGTAGCGAGGTGTTACATTTGGTATCAGAGCCTGGGGTTCGATTGCCGGCTGGGTCACATTTGAATGTGCCAGTCGCGAACCCAGTGAACGATCCGCCGCTGGCCTGGCCCACCAGCGAAGTCGCTGTAGAACGAGATTCAGGTCCTTGCGAGGGCGGACTCCCTGCCCAACGAGGACGTTGGCTCCAGGGGGGGACGAGTGTAACGCCTGTGGGGCTTACACGTAAGGGTATGAGAGCATCCGCTGCGCCTCAAATACAACCCTCGTTTTGACCCAGTGGGTAGCGAGGTGTTACAGGGGGTGTGGGTGCAGATGGGTGCAGGTGGGTGTTGCTGGGTGTGGGCGTTGGTCCAAGTCTGTCCATGCGCTAACCTCTCATCGCGACTGCACCTTTGCAGCCTTGGTTGGCACTGACATTGCCGCCTTCTACTGCTCGCCCCAGGTGGAACTGGGTGTTGGTGGGTGTTGCCGCCAGTGTAGCTGTGAAACTAGAATGGGTGGGTGCGAAACACGAGTTTCATATACTACTCTAATACTCTAACGATCCGTTCTTTAGGAAAACAAGCAAACAGAGATTCTTGTATTATTGCCCCGTTTTCCCCCTATTCCCCTATCCCTTCCCCTCCCACTCGCCCTTCTCTCTGGCAGGTGAGAACTCTCAAGGGGCACAGGGCGAAGGTCAGGCTTCTTCTGTGTGTTTGGGCGAATACCTGCTTTCAGTGGACGAGGACAGGCATGTGCTCATGTGGCCTGTTAGAGGGGAGGCATAGAGATGCTCAGCTCACACGCCTTAAGCACCCTCTCCCTTGCCCCTCCTTCTTGCCGCCCATGCTGGCAGGTGGGAACGTTCAAGGGTCACAGGGCGAAGGTCAGGCTTCTTCTGGTGCTGGGCGAATGCCTGCTCTCAGTGGACGAGCAGAGGCATGTGCTCCTGTGGCCAGTCAGAGGGGCGCAAAGAGACGCTCACCCGCCTTAAGCACCCTCTCCCTTGCCCCTCCTTGCCGCTCGTGCTGACAGGTGGGGACACTGAAGGGACACAAGGCGAAGATCAAGCTGCTGCTCGTGTTTGGCGAATACTTGATTTCAGTGGACGAGAATAGGCATGTGCTTATGTGGCCGGTCAGAGGGACACAAAGAGATGCGCCCAAGGGAGAGGGAGAGGAAGGGAAGGGGAAGGAGGGGAATGAAGAAGAGGAGGGTAGAGGGGAAAGAGGGGGACCGGATGGGGATGGAGGAGTGGGGAACGAAGAGGGGAAGAAACCTGGAGGGGCTGACCAGGAGGGGTTTGTTCTGGAGCCTCTCGGGCAGTTTCAGCTGCCCGAGGGGTTCAATCCAACCGGGGTAATTCACCCCGACACGTACCTCAACAAGCTCCTGTTCGCGTCAGAAGACGGGCGCATGCAGCTGTGGAATGTAAATTCCAGGAAGCTTCTGTACGAGTTCAAGGGGTGGGGCGTGGGGATAACAGCACTGGTGGGGTCGCCTGCATTGGATACAGCAGCAGTGGGGTGCAGCGACGGCAAGGTGCATGTGCATAACATAAGGCTGGATAGGCCAGTCGTGGATTTCACACATGCTGCTGCTGGCGCCGTCACTTCCCTGGCATTTAACTCAGGTCAGTTGCTCTTCCCTTGCGGTATGATGTGGTTTAGTGTGGTACTGAGGTGTAGCGCAGTGCAGTGCAGTGCAGTGCGGTGCAGTGGCGAGCAGTGGGGATAACAGCACTGGTGGGGTCGCCTGCATTGGATACAGCAGCAGTGGGGTGCAGCGACGGCAAGGTGCATGTGCATAACATAAGGCTGGATAGGCCAGTCGTGGACTTCACCCACGCTGCTGCCGGCGCTGTGACATCCCTCGCCTTCAACTCAGGTCAGTCCTTTTCCACGGTGCAGTGCGGTTTTGTGCGGTGCATCAGTGGGGTGCAGCGACGGCAAGGTGCATGTGCATAACATAAGGCTGGATAGGCCAGTCGTGGACTTCACCCACGCTGCTGCCGGCGCTGTGACATCCCTCGCCTTCAACTCAGGTCAGTCCTTTTCCACGGTGCAGTGCGGTTTTGTGCGGTGCATCAGTGGGGTGCAGCGACGGCAAGGTGCATGTGCATAACATAAGGCTGGATAGGCCAGTCGTGGACTTCACCCACGCTGCTGCCGGCGCCGTGACATCCCTCGCCTTCAACTCAGGTCAGTCCTTTTCCACGGTGCAGTGCGGTTTTGTGCGGTGCATCAGTGGGGTGCAGCGACGGCAAGGTGCATGTGCATAACATAAGGCTGGATAGGCCAGTCGTGGACTTCACCCACGCTGCTGCCGGCGCCGTGACATCCCTCGCCTTCAACTCAGGTCAGTCCTTTTCCACGGTGCAGTGCGGTTTTGTGCGGTGCATCAGTGGGGTGCAGCGACGGCAAGGTGCATGTGCATAACATAAGGCTGGATAGGCCAGTCGTGGACTTCACCCACGCTGCTGCCGGCGCCGTGACATCCCTCGCCTTCAACTCAGGTCAGTCCTTTTCCACGGTGCAGTGCGGTTTTGTGCGGTGCATCAGTGGGGTGCAGCGACGGCAAGGTGCATGTGCATAACATAAGGCTGGATAGGCCAGTCGTGGACTTCACCCACGCTGCTGCCGGCGCCGTCACCTCCCTGGCCTTCAACTCAGGTTAGTGGGCCTTCTCTTGCGGTCTTGTGCGGTTTAGTGCGGCACCGCGGTGCAGCGCGGTGCAGTGGTGAGCAGTGGGGATAGCAGCGCTGGTGGGGTCGCCTGCGTTGGACACGGTGGCAGTGGGGTGCAGCGACGGCAAGGTGCATGTGCATAACATAAGGCTGGATAAACCAGCCGTGGATTTCACCCACGCTGCTGCCAGCGCTGTGACTTCCCTGGCCATCAACGCAGGTCAGCCTTCGTCAATGGTGTAGTGCGCTTTAGTGCGGTTGAGTGCAGTGCTGGGTTCAGTCCAGCGATGGCAAGGTGCATGTGCATGACATCCGGCTGGATAACCCGCCGCCTGCACTCCCATCATCCCTGATGCTCATGTTGTTCTGCTGTTCTGCTCCGCCCTGCTGTATTTTGAGGCGCCTCAAAATAACCCGCCGCCTGCACTCCCATCATCCCTGATGCTCATGTTGTTCTGCTGTTCTCCCCCTGCTGCTCCCACCCCCCTCACTCCGCAGATGGTCCGCCTCTTCTAGCGGTGGGCGGCATGGGAGGAGCTATCAGCGTGTGGGACCTCACCAACCGCCGTCTGCACTCTATCATTCCCGACGCTCATGATGGCCGTGTAGCGGCGCTTTCTTTTCTCGTGAATGAGCCGCTTCTGCTGTCCGCTGGCGCTGATAACAGCCTCAAGGTATGGCCTCTCCTTCTCCTCGCCCAAACAACCACTGCCTGCACTCCATCATCCCGGATGCCCACACCACAATGGCCGCGTGGCTGCCCTCTCTTTCCTCGTCAACGAGCCTTTTCTGCTCTCTGCTGGGGCAGACAACAGCCTCAAGGTACTGCTGGTGCCTCTGTAGCCCCTCTCTGTAGCCCCTCTCTGTAGCCCCTCTCTGTAGCCCCTCTCTGTAGCCCCTCTCTGTAGCCCCTCTCTGTAGCCCCTCTCTGTAGCCCCTCTCTGTAGCCCCTCTCTGTAGCCCCTCTCTGTTGATCCTCGCCTCCCGTTCTTCCCCATCCCATCTACCGCCGCCTGCACTGCACGCCATCAACTTTTGAGACGTCTCAAAAGTCGTCTCATGAGACGTCTCAAAATTTCTTCCCCATCCCATCTACCGCCGCCTGCACTGCACGCCATCATCCCCGACGCGCATGACGGCCGCGTGGCAGCCCTCTCCTTCTTCGTCAATGAGCCTCTGCTCTTGTGTGCCGGTGCCGATAACAGCCTCAAGCTACATGCTGTGGTCCTCCTGTGCCCCACTTGGCTGTAGTCTCTGTAGCCCCCCCTCTCCATTCACCTAACAAAGCGTCATCTGCACTCCATCATTCCCGACACCCATGACGGGCGTGTGGCTGCCCTCTCCTTCCTCGTCAACGAGCCTCTTCTGCTCTCTGCTGGTTTTGAGTCGACTCAAAAACAAGCGAGCCTCTTCTGCTCTCTGCTGGGGCAGACAACAGCCTCAAGGTGCGACTGTTGGAAGACCCACTGCAGTGTCTCTGTCTGTAGCCTCTTCTTCTCCCCCGTCCCACCCACCGCCGCCTGCACTCCATTATCCCCGATTCGCATGATGGCCGCGTGGCTGCCCTCTCCTTCCTTGTCAATGAGCCTTTGCTCTTGTCTGCAGGGGCAAACAACAGCCTCAAGGTAATGCTAACGCTTCCGTAACCCCTTCTCTTCTTCAATCGTCGTCTGTGACCTCACCAATCGCCGTCTGTGACCTCACCAATCGTCGTCTGCACTCCACCATCCCCGGCGCTCACGACGGTCTGCCCCTGCTAATATATGGTCTCCATCATCCCCGTCAAAATATGCTCTCCCTGTTAATCCCCCCCCCCCCTCTCTCTCTCTCTCTCTCTCTCTCTCTCTCTCTCTCTCTCTCTCTCTCTCTCTCTCTCTCTCCCCATCACCTCCCCTCCCCTTCTCACCTTCTCCCCCTCTCCCCATTGTGTTCCCCACTCCCCCATCAACCCCCCGTTCCCCTCTCACCTTCTCCCCCTCTCCCACCCGTTGTGTCCCCTACTCCCTTTTCCAACACGCCTTCCCGACCGCTACCCGCCCCGCTTCTTCTCCCATATCAGATCTGGATATTTGATTCGGTGGACGACAACCCTCGTCTCTTGCGCTACCGCACAGGACACAGCTCGCCGCCCTGCTGCATCAAGTAAGTTAAGCAAGCCGCCCTGCTGCATCAAGTAAGTTAAGCAAGCCGCCCTGCTGCATCAAGTAAGTTAAGCAAGCCGCCCTGCTGCATCAAGTAAGTACAAAGCAAACCTCTCTGCTTCATCAAGGGGTACAAAGCAAACCGCCCTGCTGCTATCGTTTCTGAAAATTCTGGCACCCCATCTCACCCCATCTCACCACATCTCACCACATCTCACCACATCTCACCACATCTCACCACATCTCACCCCATCTCACCACATCTCACCACATCTCACCACATCTCACCCCATCTCACCCCATCTCACCCCATCTCACCCCATCACATCCCACCATCAGGTACTACAGGAACGGACGCCACATTCTCATCACGTTCCTCCCATCACACCCTATCACACTCCATCCCACACCACCATCACATCTCACCCGATCTCACCCGATCTTACCGCATCGCACCGCATCCCACCCAACGCCAGGTACTACAGGAACGGCCGTCACATTCTCTCGGCTGGGCTCGACAGAAGCTTCCGCATCTTCTCCACCGTTCAGGTATGCTTTCAGTACCGTTCTATACCATCCTCCACCGTTCAGAAATGCTTCGAAGTGTTCAAGAATGTTGTCAGGAGTTTCTCTCACATACAAGATTTGAGGCGCCGGGAAATTCGACGCACGGGCAAATGTTGCTCTGTCAGTACTTGTTCCGATTGTGTGAGTTTGTGTGTGAGAGTGCGTGCCTCTCTGTGTGTGCGCATGTGTATGTCATTCCAAATGCTCCTCTTAATGTTTTGTTTTCTTGGGTTGTATTTGTACAGGGATACGGAATGCTCTTCTTCATGTTTTTTTTTTTTTTGCCACCCGCGTTGGACTCATAATTGGAAAGCTCACACTCGTACGCTCCTCCCTCCTTTTCTGTTCCTTCCCCCTACCAGGACCAGCAAAGCCGGGAGTTATCGCAGGGAAACTTTGAGAAGAGAATGAAGAAAATGATGATGAAGGTGAGGGAAGGGGGTGGGAGGAAAGAACCGAGTGGTGATACACCTTCGCAGGTAATTGAGGGGGCGTCATGGTGTAGTGAGGTGCATTTTGAGGCGCCTCAAAATGCACCTCACTACAGGTGAGGGAAGGGGGTGGGAGGAAAGAACCGAGTGGTGATACACCTTTGCAGGTAAATGAGGGGGCGTCATGGACCAACTTTTGAGGCGCCTCAAAAGTATAGACCAAGGCATGGGTTTATTGCAGGGAAACTCAGAAAAGAGGATGAATAGGATGATGATGAAGGTGAAGGGGATGAGAGAGGGGCGAGACCCACCCTGGTATGCATGGATGGGGAGAGCAAGGATTTGTCGCAGGGAAAATTAGAACGGATGAAAAGTCGTGTTTTGATTCGACTTGAAACACGACTCATTACACGCGGAGCAAGGAGTTATCACAGGGAAAATTAGAAAGGATGAAGAGGATGATGCGTGGGGGGAGGGGAGAGGGGGGGAAGAACAGGAGTGTGGACATACGTTGGCATGCATGGCAAGTTTCCGTCATCCTTGCACGTTGGTGCCAGTAAACCAATGGTGCAAGCACTCCTATAAGTTCATCGTTCCTCCTTCTGAGTTAACTCAAAAGTCACCTCGTTTTGAGTGGTCACAATAGTTGCGAGCGTTGATATAAGTTCCCCATCCCTTCTTCCTGTGCCTCCCACCCTGCCCCTTCTTTGCTTGTCTCTTCGCTAATTCAAAAACTTCCACTGTCCTTCAACTTTCCCTTTCCCCTGCCCCCTCTCTCTCCCCTCGTTGCCACCTCTCTTTTTTTCAATCTCAGGAGGAGAAGCTAAAGCTCTCCAAGGTGGTCTGCATTGACGCTGGTAAGCATTTGTGTGGGAGGTGAGGATTTAGATGTCTGAGAGGAGTTTTGAGACGTCTCGAAATTTGAGACGTCTCCAAGGTGGTCCGCTCCGCAGTGCATAAATGGTGGTAAGCATTTGTGTGGGAGCTGAGGAACTTTGGAATGTCGTCACACATGGCTACTTCCCTCTAACCTTGTTACTACTTCTTACCGTCCTGTACTCCCTCTTCACCGCTTGTCATCCCTCTCTACCGCACTGTACCCACATCTCAGCTGAGGTGCGGGAGAGTGACTGGGCGAATGTGGTGACCTGTCACGAGGGCAACCCACCTAGCAGCATTCGTGTGGGAGCTGAGGAACTTTGGACCGTCGTCACACAAGGCTGGCTACTACCTCTCACCTTGTTGACCACTTCTGACCATTCTGTACTCCCTCTTCGCCCCTCTGTACCCCTCTGTACTTCATTATACCTTTATGTTCAGCTGAGGTGCGGGAGAGGGACTGGGCGAACGTGGTGACCTGCCACGAGGGTAACCCAGCAGCATTCGTTTGGGAGCTGAGGAATTTTGTGATCGGCAAGCTGAGGCTGGTTCCGCCAGGAATTGAACCCTCGCCTGCCACTGTAAGCAGGAGTAAGATTACAATTAGACATGGTCCTTCATGCCCTCTAGGAGTGAGATTAAGATTGATGCCCTCTACGATTGAAAGCCACCTTCTTTGCTTTTTAGATAAATCAGCTCCTCCCCTCCCTCCCCCCTCCCCTACCCTACCCTCCCCTCCCCTCCCCTCCCTACCCCTCCCCCCCCCCCTACTCCCCTTTTCCCCCTTCCCATTCCCTCCCCTCCCCTTCCCTTCCCTCCCCTTCCCTCCCCTCCTTTTCCCTCCCTTCTCAATAATGGGCATGCGTAGCGGGCGTGTGTGTTTCTGATCTAAGGCGCTTGAGAAATTGAAGGCATGCACAGCTAGTGTGTGTGTGTGTGGCAACTTCGCCCTTGTAGCCTTGTAGGAACCTCCTCGGGTGGTTTGCATTGCATCTCTTCCACCTGCAGTCAGCACGGCACCGCGTGGCGTACCAGTGGAGGAAGAAGCGAGCAATGCATCCCCTCTCTCTTCCCCCTCCCTGCCCAACCCACCAGGTGTGTGCGGCCAGCATGTGCGGCAACTTCGCCCTGGTAGGCACCTCCTCGGGTCATCTGCACCTCTTCCACCTGCAGTCAGCACGGCACCGCGTGGCGTACCAGTCAGAGAAGATGCAGTACAGCCCGGCACATGGCGGCATGGTGACTGGCGCTGCTATTGACGCACTCAACAGGCACAGCATCAGCTGCGGCAGAGATGGGCGTGTCAAGGTGAGTAAGAGAACTGGCAGGCAGCATGGAACTGTTTTTCTCTCTCCTCCTCTCTCACCGAGTGGCGTCCAGAAGATGCAGTAGAGTCCGGCACATGGTGGCATGGTGACTGGCGCTGCTGTCGATGCGCTCAACGGCCACAGCATCAACGGCCACAGCATCAGCTGCGGCAGAGATGGGCATGTCAAGGTGAGAGCAGAGACGGTCGGTTCAAGGGGAGTGAGAGCACTGGCAGGCAGCACCGCGTGGCGTACCAGTCAGAGAAGATGCAGTACAGCCCGATGCACGGTGGCATGGTGCACGGTGGCATGGTGCACGGTGGCATGGTGCACGGTGGCATGGTGACTGGCGCTGCTAATGACGCTCTCAACGGGCACAGCATCAACGGGCACAGCATCAACGGGCACAGCATCAACGGGCACAGCATCAACGGCCACAGCATCAACGGGCACAGCATCAACGGGCACAGCATCAACGGGCACAGCATCAACGGGCACAGCATCAACGGGCACAGCATCAACGGGCACAGCATCAACGGGCACAGCATCAACGGGCACAGCATCAACGGGCACAGCATCAACGGGCACAGCATCAACGGGCACAGCATCAACGGGCACAGCATCAACGGGCACAGCATCAACGGGCACAGCATCAACGGCACAGCATCAACGGGCACAGCATCAACGGGCACAGCATCAACGGGCACAGCATCAACGGGCACAGCATCAACGGGCACAGCATCAACGGGCACAGCATCAACGGGCACAGCATCAACGGGCACAGCATCAACGGGCACAGCATCAACGGGCACAGCATCAACGGGCACAGCATCAACGGGCACAGCATCAACGGGCACAGCATCAACGGGCACAGCATCAACGGGCACAGCATCAACGGGCACAGCATCAACGGGCACAGCATCAACGGGCACAGCATCAACGGGCCACAGCATCAACGGGCACAGCATCAACGGGCACAGCATCAACGGGCACAGCATCAACGGGCACAGCATCAACGGGCACAGCATCAACGGGCACAGCATCAACGGGCACAGCATCAACGGGCACAGCATCAACGGGCACAGCATCAACGGGCACAGCATCAACGGGCACAGCATCAACGGGCACAGCATCAACGGGCACAGCATCAACGGCACAGCATCAACGGGCACAGCATCAACGGGCACAGCATCAACGGGCACAGCATCAACGGGCACAGCATCAACGGGCACAGCATCAACGGGCACAGCATCAACGGGCACAGCATCAACGGGCACAGCATCAACGGGCACAGCATCAACGGGCACAGCATCAACGGGCACAGCATCAACGGGCACAGCATCAACGGGCACAGCATCAACGGGCACAGCATCAACGGGCACAGCATCAACGGGCACAGCATCAACGGGCACAGCATCAACGGGCACAGCATCAACGGGCACAGCATCAACGGGCACAGCATCAACGGGCACAGCATCAACGGGCACAGCATCAACGGGCACAGCATCAACGGGCACAGCATCAACGGGCACAGCATCAACGGGCACAGCATCAACGGGCACAGCATCAACGGGCACAGCATCAACGGGCACAGCATCAACGGGCACAGCATCAACGGGCACAGCATCAACGGGCACAGCATCAACGGGCACAGCATCAACGGGCACAGCATCAACGGGCACAGCATCAACGGGCACAGCATCAACGGGCACAGCATCAACGGGCACAGCATCAACGGGCACAGCATCAACGGGCACAGCATCAACGGGCACAGCATCAACGGGCACAGCATCAACGGGCACAGCATCAACGGGCACAGCATCAACGGGCACAGCATCAACGGGCACAGCATCAACGGGCACAGCATCAACGGGCACAGCATCAACGGGCACAGCATCAACGGGCACAGCATCAACGGGCACAGCATCAACGGGCACAGCATCAACGGGCACAGCATCAACGGGCACAGCATCAACGGCCACAGCATCAACGGGCACAGCATCAACGGGCACAGCATCAACGGGCACAGCATCAACGGGCACAGCATCAACGGCCACAGCATCAACGGGCACAGCATCAACGGGCACAGCATCAACGGGCACAGCATCAACGGGCACAGCATCAACGGGCACAGCATCAACGGGCACAGCATCAACGGGCACAGCATCAACGGCCACAGCATCAACGGGCACAGCATCAACGGGCACAGCATCAACGGGCACAGCATCAACGGGCACAGCATCAACGGGCACAGCATCAACGGGCACAGCATCAACGGGCACAGCATCAACGGGCACAGCATCAACGGGCACAGCATCAACGGGCACAGCATCAACGGGCACAGCATCAACGGGCACAGCATCAACGGCCACAGCATCAACGGCCACAGCATCAACGGGCACAGCATCAACGGGCACAGCATCAACGGGCACAGCATCAACGGGCACAGCATCAACGGGCACAGCATCAACGGCACAGCATCAACGGGCACAGCATCAACGGCCACAGCATCAACGGCCACAGCATCAACGGGCACAGCATCAACGGGCACAGCATCAACGGGCACAGCATCAACGGGCACAGCATCAACGGGCACAGCATCAACGGGCACAGCATCAACGGGCACAGCATCAACGGGCACAGCATCAACGGGCACAGCATCAACGGGCACAGCATCAACGGGCACAGCATCAACGGGCACAGCATCAACGGGCACAGCATCAACGGGCACAGCATCAACGGGCACAGCATCAACGGGCACAGCATCAACGGGCACAGCATCAACGGCCACAGCATCAACGGGCACAGCATCAACGGGCACAGCATCAACGGGCACAGCATCAACGGGCACAGCATCAACGGGCACAGCATCAACGGGCACAGCATCAACGGGCACAGCATCAACGGGCACAGCATCAACGGCCACAGCATCAACGGGCACAGCATCAACGGGCACAGCATCAACGGCCACAGCATCAACGGGCACAGCATCAACGGGCACAGCATCAACGGGCACAGCATCAACGGGCACAGCATCAACGGGCACAGCATCAACGGGCACAGCATCAGCTGCGGCAGAGACAGCCAGGTCTGGTTTTTCAAGTCAGGTCGGCTGCAATGCAGTCAATGTGAATTTCACTCCTGTTTTGTGATTGCCTCATTCACCCCTTGTCATCCACTGGCCCTCCCCCTCCCCTCCTCCCTACTCTCAGGTCTGGTATCTCAAGTCCGGCCGCCTGCGATTCGATGTGAATGTCGGCTCGCCTATAGTGAAGTTGAAGTTCCATCACGGCAACAGTGAGTGTGCTTGTAACGAGTATAACTTCGGTGGTTATCGAAGTCTGGTGTGACAACAGTGAGTCTACAAAGCAATCGATGGATGTGGCCTTCCTGTAGAATGTGATTTTTTGTCCAATTAGGTGTTTCTGATGCTGATAGTGAATTTGACAACGGTGAGTGTTGAAAGCAATTGCTGAATGTGGGTTTTCTGATGCTGAATGTGACAAACCATTGAATGTTTTTCTCCTTCCCTCCCCTCTCCCTTCCTTCCCGTCAACTCCCCTCTGCTTTCTTTTGGTCCACCAGACCTAGCAGCAATCGCCTGCGAGAATTTCACGACCTACATCTTCGACGCCGAGGCTGGCCGGCTGGTTCGGCGGTTCCCGGGCCACGAGGATCGGATCACCGCCGTCGAGGTCAGCCCCGACGGCCGGTGGCTGCTGACGTCAGCCATGGATCTGACCGTGCGCACGTGGCATGTCGTGAGTGGCCGCCCGCTGGACGCTTTCCAGGTGCCGACAGCTGTCGTGGGGCTGTCCATGTCACCCACTTCGGACCTTCTTGCCACCATTCACCTCAACCGCCGGGGAATCTACCTCTGGTGAGCACTGCAAGCGCCTTATTGGTTCTGGAGAGGTGTGTAACGTGTTCTGACTTCCAGGTGCCGACAGCTGTGGCGGGGCTGTCCACTTCCGACCTCCCCGCCACCATCCATCTGAACCGGAGAGGCATATACCTCTGGTAAGGGTTAGAGCGGCTCAGGTAATCACACGTTTTAGCAAATGCAGGCTCTTGGCCGCCCGCTGGACGCTTTCCAGGTGCTGGTAGCTGTCGCGGGGCTGACTTTTGAGTCGACTCAAAAGTCAACTTCCAGGTGCCGACAGCTGTCGTGGGGCGGGCTGTCCATGTCGCCCATTTCCGACCTCCTCGCCACCATCCATCTGAACTGAACCGGCGAGGGATCTATCTCTGGTGAGTGCTTTATCGATTCTGCAGAGGTGTCTTTCGGCTTGGGGTTTAGGCCAAAATACAGCTGTGGCTTGGGGTTTAGGCCCAAATACAGCTGTGGCTTGGGCTTTAGGCCAAAATACAGCTGTGGCTTGGGGTTTAGGCCAAAATACAGCTGTGGCTTGGGCTTTAGGCCCAAATACAGCTGTGGCTTGGGCTTTAGGCCAAAATACAGCTGTGGCTTGGGCTTTAGGCCAAAATACAGCTGTGGCTTGGGCTTTAGGCCAAAATACAGCTGTGGCTTGGGCTTTAGGCCAAAATACAGCTGTGGCTTGGGCTTTAGGCCAAAATACAGCTGTGGCTTGGGGTTTAGGCCAAAATACAGCTGTGGCTTGGGCTTTAGGCCAAAATACAGCTGTGGCTTGGGCTTTAGGCCAAAATACAGCTGTGGCTTGGGCTTTAGGCCAAAATACAGCTGTGGCTTGGGCTTTAGGCCGACAGCTGTCGTCGTGGGGCTGTCCATGTTGCCGCCGTCCTCGGACCTCCGCGCCACCATCCATCTGAACCGGCGGCGAGGGATCTATCTCTTCTCTGGTAATGGCCTTACTTATTCTGGGGAGGTGTACTGCTGCGTAAGATCAGATTGCCGACAGCTGTCGTGGGGACTCTCTACGTCGCCCTCTTCAGATCAGACCTTCTAGCCACCATCCATCCCAACCCCAGATACGCCTTTCCCCTATTCTCTGGGATAACCGGCTCCGCTCCGACTCCCCCCGTCTCCCCTCTCCCTCACTGCCCCCCTTCACCTCTTTGAACCGTTACTCACCTCATGCCACCCTTCCCCTAATCTGCGAACCCCCCTCGCGCCTCTCAGGGCGAACAAGACCAGCCATGTACTCTGGGATAGACGTCTCGGATCTCCTCCTGGCTCCCCTTTCTCCCCGTGCCTCCTCCCTTTCATCCCCTTGTACCGTTACTCACTCCCTATATGCCTTCCTCCTATCCCTTCCCCCCCGTCCTCCCTTTTTTCCCTCTCAGGGCGAACAAGGCCAGACATGCACTCTGGCTTGGATTGACGACTCGGACCTCCCCCCGGCTCCCCTCTCTCTCCCTGCTGCCATTCATTACTCACCCTGAAACCATGTTTCCCCTATGCTGCCACTCCCTTCCCCGCTCAACCCTGCTCCATCTACTCAGGGCGAACAAGGCCAGCCATGTACTCTGGGATTGACGTCTCGGACCTCCTCCCCGCTCCCCCCTCCCTCCCTGCCCTCCCCTTCCATCCCTTTGTACCGTTACTCATCCCCTAACTCACGTTTATTTCCTTCTCTCCCCTCCCCTCTCTCAGGGCCAACAAGGCCATGTACTCTGGGATAGACGACTCAGACCTCCTCCCTGCTCCCCTCTCTCACTCTCTTGTCATATCCCCCTTTCCCCTATGCTGCCCCCCCTCAATCCCCCACCCTTGCCCCCACCCCTCTCCCCCGCTCCCTCAGGGCGAACAAGGCCATGTACTCTGGGATAGATGACTCGGACCTTCTCCCGGCTCCCCTCTAACTCCTTACTTCGCAGCTCACATGCCCCCCCCGCTTTTCCATGCCCCGTTCTTGCAGGGCGAACAAGGCCATGTATTCTGGGATAGATGACTCTGACCTACTCCCGGTTCCCCTCTCCCTCCCTGCCGCCACCGCAACTGACGGCACCGGGACCAATAGCAGCGTGCCAGCTGTCCAGATGCCAATTCTGATTGGTCCAAACGAGGGAGCGGAGGGGGAGGAGGAGGATGAGGAGGGGAGGAGGGTGGGTGGAAGGGGTGTGGGGACAGGGGACGTGGCGGTTATAGCTGGGGAGGGGGGAGGAGGGAGAGCGGGAGTGAGTGGAGGGGAAGGTGAGGTAGGGAGAGGGAAGAGCGAGGGGGGGACGAGAGCAGAACACTGGACAGCTGAAGAGGCAGAGAGAGAAGCGAGGGACTATGAAACCAGTGCCGCCGCCACTGCCGCTGCTGCCGCCGCCGCTGGTGGTAGTGGTGGTGGTGCTGCTGCTGCTGCTGCAGGAGAGAACCAACAGCAGAACCAGGAGCTTCAACTTCAAGTCCCGGGGCTGATATCCCGTGCCATGCTGCCTCGCTCTCAGTGGGTGAATCTAGTGATGCTAGATGTGATCAAGGAGAGAAACAGGCCGATTCAGCCGCCCAAGAAGCCTGAGCAGGCGCCCTTCTTCCTCCCCTCCGTACCGACTTTCTCGGGGGCGATCCACTTTGCTCCTCCCCAGGCCGCTGCTGCTGTTGCTGCTGGCTCGGCCGAACCTGCCGGCTCGGCTGGTTCGGCCGAACCTACTGGTAGCACCGCTGCTGCTGCTGATGGTGTTGCAGGTGCTTCAGGTGGTTCTTCAGGCGGTGCTTTGCCTGGATGGGGGAGTGAAGGAGACGCGGAGATGGAGGAAGGGGAGGAGGAGGAGGGAGAGGAGGGGAGTGAGGAGGGGGAGGAGGGAGGAGCAGAAGGGGAGGAGGGAGGAGAGAGGGCAGAGGAGGGAGGGAAGAAGGGGGGTGTGTTGGGGAAGAGGAGGCATGGGAGGGTGATGCGAGGAGGTCTGGAGGACTCTGAAATGGACACTGAGCTGATGAGGGCCATCAGAAGAGGAGCTCAGTGCGACCCAGCAGACTGTGAGTGATTTTGGTGGTGCTGTTTGTCGTGTAACACATGCGCCACACTGTGGCAGGGCATGCACTGCACCCCACAGGAGGGAGGTCTAGAGGACTCTGAGATGGACACGGAGCTGATGAGGGCGATCAGAAGAGGCGCACAGAGCGAGTCAGCAGACTGTGAGTGGCTTGTCTCTCTCTCTCTCTCACTAGCCAAGATGAGGGTGCTTGTCTCCCACTAGCCTAGCCACTCTGTTGAGGTATTCACTCTCCAAAAAGGAGGACTGGAGGAGTTTGAAATGGACACGGAGCTGATGAGGGCCATCAGAAGAGGAGCACAGAGCGAGCCAGCAGACTGTGAGTGACTTGTCTCTCATGGCATTTACGGGTCTGGGGGGATGTACCTCGCAGAGGGGAGGTCTGGAGGAGTTTGAGGTGGACATAGATCTTCAGTTGATTTTCGGGACCTTGACTCACTCACTACATGCACGGGACTGTGAGTGGCTTCATTAGTAACAGGCCACAAGCCATTGAGGTGAGATTTGTTTGAGGCGCCTCAAAACTCACCTCAATGAGTGGCTTCTTTTGTTAAAGGCCACAAGCCATGGCACTGCTGAAAGCCAAGCACAATCAGCCGTTGATCTCAACATCTTCCCCACTCGATCACCTCCTCCCCTCCTCACCTTTCCCTACGGAAATCCATGTCCCCGTCAGCCGTTGATCTTGAGATTTCCTGATTCTCTTTCCCTCCTCATCTCACTCAAATCGCTTTCCCTTGTCTCTTCCCCACCTCGCTCTCTCTTCTATTAACAGACTCCCAAGCTACGGCTCTGCTGAAGGTCATGTCGCCGTCAGCCGTTGATTTGGAGCTGCGGGCGATCGAGATCGTTGATGACAGCCCCTCCCCGGCGGACCTGCACCGGGTGGCTCTCTTCATGTCCTTCCTCGAGGGGAAGCTTCGTGGAAGCTGCGACTTTGAGCTGCTGCAAGCGGTGACGCACCGATTCCTGGCGGTACGTGCGTGGTTGCGTGGGAATGAGAACTAGGGCTGCTAGGGCTCTATGTTTCAGGGGTTTTAGGGTTTAATGTGTAATGCTAAGGGGTTAAGGGTTGGGGTTTGGGAGGTGGGCGATCGATATCGTCGATGACAGCCCCTCCTCGGCGGACCTGAACCGGGTGGCTCTCTTCATGTGCTTTCTTGAGGGAAAGCTTCGAGGAAGTTGCGACTTCAAGCTGCTACAAGCCATGATGCACCGATTTCTGGCGGTGGGTGCATGGCCATGTTAGGGAGTGTGGATCTGGGCTAGGGTAATTCAGGGGGTTCAGGGTTTATGGGTCGAAGTTTAGGGTTTAAGGTATGGGATCTGGAGCTGCGTCCGAACGAGATGGTCGATGACAGCCCCTCACAAGGGGATCTGCACGACGTTTCTGACTTTGTGTTCCCGCTGTGTCTTTTTCCCCATCGCAGATCCACGGGTCAGCCATCTCCTCATTCCCTCAGCTGCGCTGCGCGCCAAGCTGCCCGCCCTCAGAGCAGCCCTTTTTAACTGACTCAATACAACAGCACTGTTCCACTTCAGCCGTTCCTGTGTTCCTTCCTCCCTTCTCTTCTCCTGTATCTCTCTTCCTCTGCAGATCCACGGGTCAGCAATCTCCTCATTCCCCCAGCTGCGCGCCAAGCTGCCTGCCCTCAAAGAAGCCCAGGCCTCCAGCTGGCAGCGGCTCGACGAGCTCTTTCAGAGCATTCGCTGCGTTGTGGATTTCATCGCATCTTCCTAGATACATTCGCTGCGCTGACGCTATGAGCTCCTTTCCAGAGCGACTTTGAGGCGCTGTAAAGACGGCATGCAGCTGGCAGCGGTTGGACGAGCTCTTTCAGGCCATTCGCTGCGTCGTCGTGGATTTCGTCGCTTCATCATACTGTATATCGGATTGAGTCGACTAATACAAATGATGTCAGCATGAAAACCAATGCAAGTTGCGCAAATTACTGTGTGCAGAGGAGAAAATCCTCCTGTTGCCTGTATCAGTCGGTGCAGTGATTCGTGACAAAGGAGTTTACCATAAGTTTATGGTCTTGAATCGAATTGAATGGTTTAGAATGAGAAGCACCTTACCGAACCGCACAATCAATGCGTCACACTGCTTTTACCATAGCAAACCCATGTTCATTAGTACAAAATATAGTATACTTCCAACATCAAGAAAAGCACCTGATGCATCGGCCTTGCATGAGTTCCTGCACGCTGCAATACCACAGTCTCTTACTTGTGTACTGTTATTATTCCTAAGAGTACTGTAGAAAACTATCGGCCTCTCCTTGAGCTGACAGGTGCCTGCTGCTGCTGCTGCCGGCTCTTCGGGGGTGGCTGCCTTGCTGTCTGCTCCAGTGTTGCCTCCATCTCCTCCTCTGCCTCCTGGAGATTGGAAAAAGTGGGCGGCCGAGAACAGTAGCAGGGGGGGGAAAGAGCAGGAAGATTATGTGGGGTTGCCTGCCTCGGCTGTCTGCTCCAGTGTTGCCTCCATCTCCTCTTCGGCCTCCTGGGGAGCACATACATGGAGAGCAGAGGAAAGGGTAGGAGGGTGAGAGGGCAGGAGAGACCGTGGGAGAGTTCTCTGGAACAAAAGGCTGCCTGCCTTGCTGTCTGCTCCAGTGTTGCCTCCGTCTCCTCTTCTGCCTCCTGGGAAGAGGCAAGTGGAGTAAAAGGATGGATAGGGCAGGAGGAGAGGGCAGCAGGAGGGTCATGGGAACGCAAGGGTGCCTGTCTCGCTGTCTGCTCCAGTGTTGCCTTCATCTCCTCCTCTGCCTCCTAAGGAGTGGAGAGAGGAGGGGGCGAGGGAGAGGACACAAAAAGGGGACAGCAGGAGGGACGCGTGAAGCAGAGGGGTGCCTGCCTTGCTGTCTGCTCCAGTGTTGCCTCCATCTCCTCCTCTGCCTCCTGTGAAGAGGACAGAGGAGAGAGGAGGAGAGAGGAGGAGTGGAGAGGAGAGGAGAGGTGAGGAGATGAAAAGGGAGGAGAGGAGAGGAGAGGAGAAATCACCACTTCGGCTTGAAACTGGGCACCTTTAATGGCACGGATTGAATTATGCACAGGTGACTCTTGAGTTGACTCAAAAGTCAATGCACAGGGCACAGCACCACATCACAGTGCTTATAGCAGAGCACAAGGTCACACCATCACATCACCACCACAACTCACCACCAAGGCTTGGAACTGCTGCTCCTCATCTATTGCATCCAACACCTTGGGATCGTTTAGAAGCTCCTGAGGGGATGAAAGAGTGAAGTCACGGACGATGGAGAGGGAGGGAGAAAGGAGGTCAAGGAGGTCAAGGAGGTCAAGGAGGTCAATGAACAGATTTGCGACGAGTAAACATCTCTGAGCGAAAGATTTGGTTTTTGAGAATTCTAAAAAATGAACAGATTTGCGACGAGTAAACATCTCTGAGCGAAAGATTTGCCATGAGTGTACCCTGGGCGTATAAAACAAGTGCACAGACAGCAATCAAGGTGAGCCTATATAGACGTGGCTATACACTTGTATTCTTTTCATGAATTCAAGCAACAAAAGGCAAAAACAAAGAGAAAGGAAACACTACAATGGACTTACAGGATCTTCAGCCACAAGAATCTCGCTAGTCTTTGGGTCCTGATTGGGAATAGAACAAGAGGTCATGGGATAAAGGGGAGGGGACAATGTGATGATGTGCAATCAAAAGAACTGAATCAAAGAGAAACGGGTTACAACTTAGAGATGATGAAATCAGAGCGTTAATAGCAACGATGAAATATTGATTTCGAAGAAAGCGCAAGAACACATTCGGTGCTCGGGGGGAAAGGAGGAAGGCATGGGTCAACAGTATGTGCATAATGCAGTATACAAGAAGTATAAAAAAAACCATTCAGCCACGACAAGTGATGCATGGGGTGAGATGGAGTCCTTGCCTTGTATGCGACGAACATGAGAGGGTCGAAAGGCGTGTATATCATGTACTCCTGCCCGCCCTGGTGGGAGATGGGTGCGAGGATAGGAGGATGAAAGGGCGTGGTGAGGTTGGGAAACTCAGATGCATGCAGGATCACTCCTACAAACGTGAGAGGGTCGAAGGGCGTGTATATCATGTACTCTTGGCCGCCCTGGTGGTGATGGCAGATGGTGGATGGAGGGGTCGATGAGCGTGTGGATAGATCTATACTGAACCAGCTCAACCCCTTGGGTAAGCACAACTTAGAGACAGGAAGGTGGTGCTGTCAACCCCGCCTTGAAAGAACAAGCCTCTAATGCCAAACCCCAGCTCTGCTTTTGAGTCGACTCAAAAGCTGATGCCAAACCCTAGCTAATAACTTTTCAATGTAGAAACCGCGTGTAACGAGTCTGCTTTTGAGTCGACTCAAAACCGCGTGTAATGAGTCTGCTTTTGAGTCAACTCAAAATCGCGTGTAATCAGTCTGCTTTTGAGTCGACTCAAAAGCAGCCTCTGATGCCAAACCCTAGCTCTGCAGTTGCGAGTGTAGGGTACTTCTTGAAAGATACTTCAAATAACTTGAACCACCTCAAATCACTTAAAAGGGTAGAAAAAAAGAACTTACAGACAGGAACGTGGTGATGTCAACCCCTTCAGCCAGGGATCCCCCGATGCCAAACCCCAGCTCTGCAGTCTCGCGTGTAAGGGGGGGGTGTGAGAAGAAGGAAAGAAGGATAGGAAGACAAAACATTGAGATTTTCTGTATCGGCATCTTTTGAAATCACTCTTTTTATTTGGACTTCAGTCACGCCTCATGCCCCATGTTCCAAGCCCCATGAGCCCATGACTCATGCCTTACAATGCCTGCACCATGCCCCATGCCACACGTCTCACGCCCCATGTCCCTCCCAAGCCGCATGACATCAGCATGACCTCACCAGTGTCCAGGTTGATGACGTCATCCTCTGTGAAGCAGATGGCTCCTCTAAGGGTGAGGGTGAATCTGCGAGGAGAAGAGGGAGGGACATTGGTGGGGGGTTGTCAAGTACGGGAAGAGGAGGAGGATAAGGGCGATGAGAGGATAAGGGCGATGAGAGGAAAGCAGCTCCAATCCAACTTAAAGGGACAAACTGAAGGGACAGACTGACTGAAGGGACAGACAGACTGAAGGGACAGACTGAAGGGACAGACTGACTGAAGGGACAGGCTGAAGGGACAGACTGACTGAAGGGACAGACTGACTGAAGGGACAGACTGAAGGGACAGACTGACTGAAGGGACAGACTGACTGAAGGGACAGACTGAAGGGACAGACTGACTGAAGGGACAGACTGACTGAAGGGACAGACTGAAGGGACAGACTGACTGAAGGGACAGACTGACTGAAGGGACAGACTGAAGGGACAGACTGACTGAAGGGACAGACTGACTGAAGGGACAGACTGACTGAAGGGACAGACTGACTGAAGGTACAGACTGACTGAAGGGACAGACTGACTGAAGGGACAGACTGACTGAAGGGACAGACTGACTGAAGGTACAGACAGACTGAAGGTACAGACAGATGGTTCATCTGAGGGTGAGAGTGAAGCTGCGAGGGGGGAGGCAAGGGAGCGGGAAGGGGATGGCGACGGGGAAGAGTGCAAGAACATTGGAATAGGAGGAATGAAAGGGTGACAAGAGGGATTAGAGTTAGCGGCTGTGTGAAGGTGAAGCAGATGGGTCCTCTGCAACTCTATCACATCTGTTTTTCATGCTCACCTGCATGATGGCGTCATGTTTTTAGAACTCTCTCTAAAGAAAACGACAGAAAATGCTAAAATATATATATATATATATATATATATATATATATATATCAACTACATTTCTCGTACTCACCTGCATGATGGCCCCTCATCGTGCACCTTCTGTAGCAGCTACAGCCGCACCTCACGACCCCGCGTCAGCCTGTCTCCCAACACTCAGTCCACCCGGATGCACGCGAATGCAGCAGCGGGCATGATCCGTTCCGCTCCGCCTCCTCATCATCCGCTTCGTTCAGCTACAGCCTCACCTCAGCCTACCCCGTAACCCCACCCGGAGGGTGTCAGGTGCAGGCTCTTCTTGGCTAATGCGTACGCAGCAGGCAGCATGATTCTCTCCGCCTCCTCATCATCCACCTCTTCTCAAAAACGAGGTCTCTGGTCAGATGCTTTCAGTCTCACCCTGAGGGAGTCAAGTGCAGGCTCTTCTTGGCGAGAGCATAAGCGGCAGCCGGCATGATTCGCTCTGCCTCCTCATCATCCACCTCCTGTAGCTCTCCCGTTCGCCCAGAGATGCGGAAAAACATGATGGGGCTGGAAGGAAGTGGTGGGAGAGAAGGGGGGGAAGGGGAGGAACAGACTAGGTGAATCGGCATGATCCTCTCCGCTCCGCCTCCTCATCATCCACTTCTTGCAGCTCGCCTGTTCTTCCGGACATGTGGAAGAACATGATTGGTCTGCAATCAAGTGCGAAGAAGAGCGGATTGGGGAGGGATGGCGAGAGATCCGCACGTGTCGAGAGGGTGGGGCAGGAAAGTTGGAACAAAATTCGACAGGAACCAGACGAGCTTGGATATATAGGGAACAAGTATCGAGGCGACTCAAAACTCTTTCAGCATATAATCCCATGTGATGTGATGAGGCGGTTTTGAGTCCACTAAAAAATCGCCTCACAAGGAACGGGGCGAGTTTGGAGAAGTGGAGAACAGGTATCGAGGCTACTGTCTCATAGCGAGTTTGATTATAAAGAATATCAAAGAGGAACGGGAACGAACGTGTCGAGCGGGT